TTTTTTTTTTTTTTTTTTTTTTTGAGTATAAATGCAAGCCACAAATTTATCTTGTTTGTATTTGGAACTATAGTTAGAGATTCAGATGCTAATTAAAAGGTTGACCCACCCGATATATATATCAGATTATTATTTTTAATTCGAAATGTAAGAAATTGGGGGAAAATCAGGTGAGGGTCCCACTAACATGAAGCGCACCAAAGCGGGAAAAAAACCCATATGAAGCCCAAGTGGGGTTCCATCCCAAAACCAATTGGTGGAAGAAGGAGAGGCCCACTAGACTTATAAGGTGAGCCTATTTTCCATGTATGAATGATGTGGGACAACTCACAAGTGATATTCTAACACGCCCCCTCACTTGTGAGTCCTTCGAAAGCCCAAACCTAATTGGGTGTCCCAAGCCTACTAGAAGTAGACTCCCATAAACGGGTAAGTGGGGAAGCAGACTCCCATAAACGGATGCGAGAAGCCCAAGCCCAATTGGGTGCCCCAAGCCTACTAGAAGTAGACTCCCATAAACGGGTACGTGGGGAAGCAGACTCCCATAAACAGGTACGTCATCGCACGGTAGAACCGGCTCTGATACCATGTAAGAAATTGGGGGAAAATCAGGTGCGGTCCCACTAACATGAAGCGCACCAAAGCGGGGAAAAACCCATATGAAGCCCAAGTGGGGTTTCATCCCAAAACCAATTGGTGGAAGGAGGAAAGGCCCACTAGACTTATAAGGTGAGTCTATTTTCCATATATAAATGATGTGGGACAACTCACAAGTAATATTTTAACACGAAAAAAAAGAACTAACGATGAAATGAAAATGCACAAAATATGAGTGTTTTTTTTTTTTTAAAGTGAAGGCTAAAAATGGTATATCTAATATTTAAACCTAATTATAAACATTAACTTAATAATTTAATTTTTCATATCAAAATCATTATATAAATCTATATTATTACTAAATATAGTGAAAAATAGTTTATAATTTCTTCTTTTATATTTTATTTCAAAAAATGCGTTATCGATATCATATATTTACTAAATACTTGTTGGGTGTGCAAACTCAATCCCACATTGGAAGATTAAAAATTTCCAAGTCAATATATAAGTTTGGTGGGCTCCTTCTATTGCCAATTGGTTTTCGAATGAAACCCTATTTGGCTTGTATGTTGGGTTTGATGGATAACAGAGTTTTGAGTTGTTGATCCTAACAATTGGTATAAGAGCCACTGTTGGTAGCCCAGTTGCGATGTGGATGACGTGACATGTACCCAGTGGAACTGGAAGGGCCGGTGGATCTGTGTGCCTTGTGTCGAAAGTCATCCTGGCAAAAGGGTGTGATTAGGCGGCGGGTTCCGTGGGTGATAACTGCGGTACAAGATGGTCGGATCGTATGAATTTCGTTCAAAGGGAGGCCCAATGTGGTCTTCATCACTGAATGTGACGTCCAAGTCCAACAAATTTGCAACCAATTGATTGAATGCAGTGACGTGGTCATTTATCGCTTTGCCATGCCGGTACTCAAATCGGAACAATCGCTTCTTCATGAGGAGCTTATTCTGGCCGCTTTTCTTCAAAAATTTATCCTCCAAAGCCTTCCACATGCCGAAATGACAGGTCCCGTCGAAGATCTCCACCGGGAGTCTGACGTTCAGCATCACCGTCCTTGTCGGAATGAATGCAGAGGATGATGTGCCCTTGACCTCCTTGGACATCTCGGACTCGAATGCAGTGCTCGCCTCTCCGAATGAGCTTGGGACGAACCTTCGGCTCTGATACCACTTGTTGGGTATCACAACAAGCGCAACGGACAAAAATATTCCTCCAACAAATATGACAAACACAACTCCAAACGAAAAATAAGTCAACAATACTTTCATTTCATTCAGTCAAAATTAGTATTTGGCAAACAATTTTATACAATAAAAATGAAAAAAAAAAAATGTTAGTCAAGTCAGATAATATGATCAGGTATAATTAATCAATAATCAAACAAATTAATTTAATAAAATAAATGTTATCAATTGATACAATCAACTATCAAGTGTAATATTATTGGTAGCTACCACAATGCCAATACATTTAATTTGGATTAGAGTGGACTGCTCTGATAGGACAAACAAAAAAGGAAAAGCGAATGAACAAAAGGAAACACATATAACGACATTCCGAGACTGTGGAAGAAAGCAAGACTCTGAGCAAAGACTGAGAAGAAAGACCACAATTGTTCAAGTCCCAATTGCCAACTAAACAATCTAATCTAAAAAAATAAAAACAAAAAAGGAATCAATAAGTGGTACAAATTATCCAAACTTTCTATTGTGGGCTGCGCGCTCTTAAGGCGGTTATGAAGAGCCCAGCCCAATTACTTATCGCCTTTTGCGTCAATTAATTTTATTATATTTATGGAGATAGTTTATGAACTTAGGAAGATTCTACGGCCCCGTTATGGAACTATTCCGTCGAGGTTTGTAACTGTTAGATCAACTATTCACGACGGTTACATGATGATCTAACAATTATAAATTCCGACAAAATGGTTTCGTAACGGGACTGTAGCATTTCTCTGTGAACTTATTGGATTTTTTTACCGTAATGTAAAAGTAAGTTTAACATTTGAAATACTACATATTACATTTTTTAAATAAAAAATACAAAAAAAATTACAAAACGAATGACCAACTTTGTTCAATTGTAATTTTAAGTACACAACATTTTAATTTTAGCAATTTATAATGCAACTTTCAAACTTTTATAATTGTGTCATAGACTTAGGTTTCAGTGATCGATGAATGAGTATATATATTTCACAATATTTTCATATATTATATGTACAATAAATAAATTAAAAAAAAAACATTTATTCAATTTGGGGTATTTTCAATTTGACTGCTTATGTGTCTGATGGGATGTCCCTAGTTTTTTGGGACCTTTTTTTTCTCTACTTTTCCATTTCAATCTTTATCAATTAATAATATGAGGGAACTTTAATTAATAGCCATCATCCACACTTTAACTAGATCGTGTCCTTCAATAGTTGATTTTAATTTTAGTACTCATATTGTGCAACTAGTGTATGTATTACGTGCAATGTTGTATTTGTTTTGTTACAATTTATAATTGAAGAATATTAATCAATAAGTTATAATATATACAACATTTGTTAGGTAATCGTAAAATGTTCATTATGAAAAGTCATATATTATTAAAAACTTTTTTTTTTCTATGCAAAATTATTTTGCACTTGGCAACCGTAGATTGATATTTACCAAGATTGTTTTTCACTTGGTAATTGCGAATTGCATAGACACTTCATTCCTTCAATCTTTTGTTGATTTTCAGAATGTTACCACCACGAAATAAAACTATAGTGAAAAATATGTAATATTGTGATAAATATTAAAAATATGTTTTATCTGGTGAAGTTGTTAACTTAAAGTGTGGATTTTGAATATATATTTTTTTTTCAACCATTTTCAGTTTTTTATGCCAAATTCATTCCAATAGTGTGAACAATTTTATTTTTTGTTATGTTTTAATAGAGATTTGGAATTTTGATTGTATTTTTTGTAAAAAAAGTATTTACAAAAATAATTATGTTAAAAGAAAAAAAAAAAACAACAACAATATTTTATCATTTGTAGCTCAAATTAACATAATGAATAGGAGGACGTGTAAATCACGGTTTTATTTTTTAAAACAAAAAAATTCACAACTAAATTGATAAAAAAAAAGATTCAAAATAATAAATAGAAAAAATAATCGTGATAATATAAATAAAAAAAAAAAAGATATTTACATGAGTAGTGGAAATACTTACTATATTTGATTTAAGTCTATTCTTGTTTTATATATATATAGATTAGACTATATATATATATATATAAATCCGTGCTCGTTTGAAATCTGCGCCGGGTCAAGGTCGAAAAAACATGACCCTTGTCCGGCCCGTTTGAAATCCGTGTTGGGCCCGGACCTATAGTCAACGGGTTTGACCGGGCCGGGTTCGTGCTGGGTCCGGACCGGGTGACCCGTGGCCATGTCTAGATTAATTGTTTTTATACATCAAGCTAGCAACTAATGATTTATCAAATACTTTGCACAATTGGCTATTTATCTTTTCCATGGATTATCTTGGAGAAAGCATGGATTGGACTCAAAGCCGTCTCTAAAAGTAAAAAGTGAAAAGAAAATCACATTGTGATCATAAAATAATGATTATTTTGTAATCATGCACTTATCCACACATTATATTAATAAATAAGATAAGTATAATTTCTGTGTTCATTCAACTGAATCTCAAATGAGGAAGAAGAGAAGTACATGCATATATCCATCATCATGTCAACATGATCATGATATTTGATTATTTATTTAATTAATATTTTTTATGGAATATAATATTTTAATATTCAATTAATATGTATATTTAAATTGTAAAGTGTATAAAGGTTTACGAATTTTGAGTACACCATAAATCATTAATTAATTTACTTATTTCTTAAATTAATTTGGTGAAGCATATGTGATGAATTTTATTTTTAAATGCAATAATTCACATTGTGGTTCGATATATCATGGCTTGTCGGTTTATCATATTATTAATGTTAAATATTTGAGGTTTTGAACAATTTGTGTTCACCCATTTTATAATTATTATTTTTTAGCTTAAATTATTCATAATTTATATGTAGTTTTAGATTGAATCTTTGTTTTGAGTTTATTTGTTAATTAATTACTTTCAATCGATCTGCGTTATAAACTCGGTAATATGTGTTGAGATAAGAAAAAAATAATCTATAATTGTTCTATAGTCAATTAATTTCTTAATTTATAAAATCAGTATCAAATCTATGAAAATAATTTTAATATGAGATACCAACTGAAATATAATAAAGTTCCAAGTTACATTAAATAAAAGAATTTTTATACTTATTATGTACTTTTTAGGGGAAGATTAATGCACATCTATATGTTGTTATATCCATTTTAAATCTCAAAATTATTTAATTATTTAATGCTTGTATGAGAAGTTAATTCTATAGTTGAAAATATGGAGAATCTGAGTTGATGTAATTCAAAAGAGTTTAAATAACTCAAAGATTGTAGGATTCGTCAATTTCTGTCTTTGATTTGTCGAATGTTAATTTGAACAAGAAAATGAGTCATAATCATGTCGTAATCATGATAAAACTCTAGAAGGTTTCGTTCGGAACGTGTTGTCCAAATGATTAATCCAATCTATATATATATAATTGCTGGCTCGTGAGCATTTAATAAAACCTATTAAATTATATTTATGTGGCAATATAATTTTTCCTCCAAAAACCGTTACTTTTTATTTATTTAACTTCATTTAATTATTAGATAATCAATATACTAATCACTTCAAAATTACAAAAATCATTTTAAAATTTTGATTTACTTACAGCTGACCATATAGTGTGTTGACTATTTAACGTGATTATATGTTATTGTTGTGATTACATTTAAATTAACTTCATTTGATTTACTCCAAAAACTGTTACTTTTTATTTATTTAACCTCATTTAATTATTAGATAATAAATATACTAATCACTTCAAAATTCAAAAATCATTTTAAAATTTTGATTTACTTACAGCTGACCATATAGTGTGTTGACTATTTAACGTGATTATATGTTATTGTTGTGACTACATTTAAATTAACTTCATTTGGAAAATAAAAAAACGTATTTGAAATTACTAAATAAATAATACATAATTCACAAAGAAAGATACATGCCAAAATATACATTACATCCAATATGATGTACGCAATTTTTTTTAAAAAAAAAACAAATATTTCAGCTCATTTAATTGTAAATTTGGCAAAAATCATTAATCATTATATGCATACAAATAACTCACAATATTTTATTTATATATCTGCACAGGTCAGAATACTAGTAAACATAGTTTCAGGACTTATCACGTAATCTTCATGGTTTTGTACGGGATTCGCTACAACAATCATCAGGGCAGTGCGACCCTGGGACCCATTATTAGATTTTTTATCTTAGTTTTTATTCCTTAATGATGGAATATGGTATTAATTTTTGTTGTGGTGTTCTTCTTCATCATATTATATTTATAACTTTATAAAAACATTATTTGTTCCAAACTTTAAACATTATTTTTGCACACACTTTATAATAACATAACTTAAATAAAACAAAAATCTCTGTGTAATGAGAACATGAAAGAAACACAATTATTTTTCTACACAACAGATCACTGCCTTAAGATCTCAAAATCATCTATATAATTCTAAGTCTGCCCAAATTTACCAAGTTTCGTGTTGGCAAATCGGGCTAAAGCAATATGCGAGATTTTTTGTAATCAAACAGCGTCGGGACCAGTTATGGCGTTTGAGCCATTTGCAACGTCATCTTTGGACTCGTCGTCTGTTAAAGGGTTTGTGATTGCTTTCTGTTGGGAAATTTCTGTTGCTTTGCTGCTCTTACCCCAAATTACTAAATATAATCCAATAACGATAACTGTTGCGCCACAAACCCTGCAATATCAATGAGATAATTTCGACCGAATCAGAGAAAAAAAAAGTATACAAGTTCTTTTAGTTTTACACTAGCTAGCTACTTAAATAAAGTTGCTCACTTTCCGACTGTCATTTGCTCGGCGAAAATGAAGGAGCTCAAAATTGCGACGATGATCATGCTCAATGGATTGAATGCAGTCACGAAAACCGGTCCTTTTTCTTTCATTATTACCCCTGACAAATAGTAAGTTATCCCGGAAGACACCACTCCCTGCAATATCCGAAACGAAAAAAATTATCACAATCGATAACAAACACTCAGAGTTGGCACGAAAGTAACTTATGAATTAATAAATATATTTTTTTGAAGAGCCTTACCCCATAGACATATGCTAAGAGTTTGGCGTCCCATCCAAAAGCCCAAACCGAGACATTTCCTCTCTCAGCCAAGAATGTGAGAATAGTTCCGAGGAAGGCACCAATGGAGCATACCATAGCCGTTAGAGAAAGCCCGGCCGGGTATGACTTCAATGTGATTGCCTGTTAAACGTTTTACAAAGGAAAAATACGCTCATTTTCGAGCTAAACCATAAGGCCAACAATCACAAATAAATTGAAAATTTCTAAATTTAATTTGAATTAAGGATATATATACCTGAAGAGTGTAGAAGGCAGAATAACCAGTACAACCAACGGCGATCATGAGAGCTCCCTTAACGGGATTTTCCTTATCGTTAGGATTTGCAGAAGCTTGATTATTATGATGGGATGCATTTGTCCACGGCAATCCAATTATCGGCCCGCTAATTAAAGTCATAATCATGGCTCCTCCAACAGTAACCAAAGTCCCCATTATCTTAGCATTACTGCGCAAGCTTCTCAAGTTCACATTTTCAATCCTGGAAATTAATAATTAATAATATCATATGCAAATCTAATGATGATTTATGTTTTTAATGTATATATGAAATCATTTTATGGGATAAGTACCTGAAAATCCAAGCCAATACGAAAGTAATAGCTGGAATGAGATTGCAGAGAGCTGCAGCAAAAGTGGCGGACGAATATTTCATCCCGGCATAGAACATGTTCTGACCGATAACCGGACTGTACTCGTTACAAAAGTCGACAGCTCGTTATTATTTACACATAAAATAAAAACAAAAAATTCCTAACTACTGCAGGTAAATTAGTTAATTGTAAGCAATATTTGAGTACTTACTCAAGCAAGCCAAGCAGCAAGATCTTCCAGAAGACGCTCCACGTCATTGTTGGCCTTGTTTTCCTGTTGAATTTGGCAATATTATTTATTTGTACGATATCATGCAAAGAGAATGATTATTTTTATTATTACTTTTATCGGACCTCTCGAAAATGATGGCGAAAGGGATGAAAAGGGCACCGGCAATCGCGTTTCTGTAGACGGCAAACGTGTAATTACTGCTGCCTTGATTAAGAGCAGCTTTTGCAACAATACCAAAACCAGCAGACCCGAATTGCAAGAAAATGACTCCCACATAAGGCCTCAATTTCTGCGCAATATTATTCGAGTCCATCGCCGTATACTTAATACTATACACGAGCTTTCTATTTAAATTCTGAGTTTGAAATTCTAATAAAGGCTGTAAGAGTGTAGTGAAGTTCTTGAGTTTTGTTTGTGTGTGGAGTTGCATGGGATGGGTTTTTGCGCTTTATATACAAGTATATGGAAAGTAAGATGAAAGCGCTTTCATGTCATGACGACTTTTCAAAGATGGTTGTGGGGACCATTTAATATGTTTAAAGCAAGCAAATTAAGTGAGTGTTCCACGTATGATGATATCTAATTAGTTCATCTTTTATTCTGTATGTTTGTATATTTGTGGTCGTTTTTGTATTTTATTTTTTGGGTGTTTCGGTCAAATGGCTATTATATTCGCCATCGGATATTGACTACTACAGTACACGAATCCATCTTGAACATGAATATGTTCGATTATGAGTTAATTGTACCAAATCTCGGCATAAGTTATTCTCCCGTTTCTTAGCTAGTATCATAGTCGGTTCTATATAAGATCGTGCGATGACGTACCAATTATCCGGCCTAGTTGGGCTTAAGCTTCGTACAGGGGTTGACGCAGACTTGTAAAACTGAGGGATCACAAATGTAACTTTTACAAAGTGAAAAAAAAATTGCATCACTCATAATTACATGAATTCGAATCTCGTTAAATACAAATACGATTTTTTTTTCTTTTACATTGGAATTTCTTACAACATTAGCATTCGTGGACTTCTTTATAATAAAGATAAATATTTTATTAATTAAAAAATTAATGAAAACCACAATCTAGTAGCTAATTTAAACTTATAATTATAATTTTAAGAATATTTAAAATTCATTATGTATCAAAATCAATATTGACTTTTGTAGAAAATTGATATAATTTATTTATATATTTTGCATACAATATAATACAAATACAAAATGCAAACAAATTATATTTTAAGAAAATCTCTCTAAAATTATTTTATTTTATAATTATATAGGTACTATTTTTAAAAAATTTGCATAGCACGGGCCCCCGCCTAAGTCCGCCACTAGCTTCGTATGAAGGACTCACAAGTGAGGGGGCGTTTTAGAACATAATATCACTTGTAAGTTGTTTCACGTCTTTTATATAGGGATAATAGGCCTAACTTATAAGCTTGGTGGGTCCCTCCTCCTTTCACCAATTGGTTTTAGGATAGAACCTAACTATGGTCCATTAATGCTCACATTGCTATGGTGCGCTTCACGTGAATAAGACCGCACCCGTTTGAGCCCCGTTTCTTACAAATTGTTTTCATGGATTTCATGTAATTTGTCCATAATTGAAGATATGTGTGTTTGTTTAGGAAAGTACTCAATTCACATTCAAATTCTAACTCAACTTTGACTCAACTTTACTATTATCAATATCATAAATATAATTAAATAATATCAATTCATCATTCTTACACATCATATCAACTTTATTTACTATTCATTTACTCACATAATTTTAACTTACCATCACTTCACACCGGTTTTGCTATGAAGCCAACAACTGGCTCCATAGTGGAGCCAACCTTATATATACGACAAATAAATCTACCATATCAATAGAATTATATTAACTAGTATTCATCCTGTGCACATGCACAAAGAAAAATAAAAATATATATTATATGTATTATACAATATATATAAAATTTTATATTAGATAATTAATGTATTACATTTTAAACTTTGACTACATGCAAATGTGTAATGTAAATATAATTTATTTAACTTACATATGAATATTTATATTGATGCCATAAATTTTAATTGCTAATATAATTTAGTAATTTAGAGAGAACATTCAATTAATTAGTTAAAAAAGTATTACAATTATTTTTGGCATTGTTATAACATTTTTCATGTGATTTTAAGGTGTTTAATTATGACCCTCATGCCAATTAACTAATATTAGATAAAAATCGCTTAAACGACAAAAATATTTTATTTTAGAAAAAATTTAAAGAAAAAAATTGCAATACAATTTTTTATTAGTATGTAACTTCCACATATTATTTAATGTAAAGTTGTAACCAATTAGTATTAGTAGTGAATAAATTAGTTTAAAATTATTATTACACTTTTTTAATGTAAAATGTAACGGTTTTACATTAATTGAAAAAATGAGCGGGAAAATGAATAGAGGTTTTATTAATTAGGTTTTATTAAATGTTATATGCCAACAATTATATATATAGATGTTATTTAAGTAATCAAAGAATATGGGAGGTTTATTTGTCGTATATAGAAGGTTGGCTCCACTATGGAGCCAACTGTTGGCTCCATAGTAAAACCGCACTTCACATCATCTCTCTTATACTTTTTATTGCATCAACTTTTATTATTTTATTTTAAATATTATTTAAATATAGAATCAACTCTCACTAACAACTAACCATATAATTTTAATTCAAAGTTAACTCTAGTTAACAATAAAAACTCATTTTTAGCTGATATATTTGTATACAAACACGCTATCTGGAATCCCAAAAATTTAGGGGTGTACTCGTTTTAGAATCATCAGTTTGAGAATTTTTAGATTTTAGACATTTTAAGATTTTTAGATTTAAAATTTTAAGGATTGTGTGAGATTTGGAGCGAGATTTTATGGTTTTTTTTTTTCTTTTGAAATCCCAACAAATCTTTGGGCGTGCTTGTTTACAAATTAATCCGCTCAAAATGAGTTTTTTAAACACGGTTAATTCTAAAAAAATGATATGGTTAGTTGTTAAGTAAGATTTTGAGTTTATATTAAAATATTTAAAATAAAATAATTAGAGTTGATTTGATGTAAAAGCAGAACAGAGAAGATGTAAATTGATAGTTAGTTAGAATTATGTGAGTGGGTAAATACTGAATTAAAGTTGATTTGATGTGTAAAATGATTGGCTTATATTATTTAGTTTTATGAATAATATTAAAGATAGTCGGTTGAGTTAAAATCGAATTAGATTTTGAATATGAATGAAATGTAATTAAAATATTTTGTAGGCAAGCAGCACCCCTAAAAATCTTGATAACCCTAGTCAAATAAGTTTAAATTCATCATAATTTCGTGAAACTTTTTAAAAATCTCAAGTGAATACTTAAAAGTCTTTAGAAATCCGGAACAAATACAACCTCTATATACCAAATATATTAATTTGTCTTCTGAGTTCGAATCAAAATATACGACTTTGCTATGAAGCCAACAGTATGGAGACAATAAATATTTTTGGGCTCAATGGAATCCAAGAATTTTAGTTCGAGAACAAATATATTGCTGGGAAACCATAAATAGTTTTGGGCTCAATGGAGATTTCCCCTTTGAAATTTTCCTCAATGGAGATTTTCTTTTTCCTTTCCTGGGAAAATATGAATTTTAGTTCGAGACCAAATTTAGTAACTCCCCATTTCAGGTTGAATGTTCAATAAATTTTATAGCGAAACTAAATTTATTTACACCCAAACGCCCAACAAAAAAAAAAAACATTGTTATTATTGGCTCGTTTGGCGTGTGAGTTGTGACCAATGAGTGAAAATAACATAATTTATGGAAGATTCTACTCATTTGTCGGCTTTGACATTTGGCAATGCAGTTTTGGGCCAAATCCAATCCCTCTCCCAAAACGAATTGATGCACGCCCACAATTTACACACGCATCCTTTGGTGGGCCGGTTCGAGCATGGGCCTGGGCTTCAGACCTTGGCCTTCGTCCATGGTACTTCGTAATTAGAGTACGGGCTAGACTTGGACTCGGCCGATGGGCTTGAGCCTTGGGCCCGGCCCCTATAATCATTTTGCTGCAAATTTATTAGCAAAATCGTGGCTCAAAATAAAATCCAAACAGAGTTGGGTGTTAATTCAAGTTTTGACCCAACTAGTATGACCTCTCCAAATACAATGTATCTAGACATCTTAACTCTACTCGACTTTTTCAGAAGGTCATCAGGTAGACTAGTGGTGTATTACTACCTAAAAACGACATGTTTCACACCAGACCTT